TGATTGATGCCCTAGGAGGTATTATTTGAGGTTGTGTGTAGCGAGCTGACGCCACGGCAATCTAGCCCAGGTGCATATCATACAGCTGAACATAAACATGCTACCAATCAATAAAAATGGAATACCGATAGAGAAAGTATAAGAACAGGTGACTGTAATTATATGTCCAATTATAGGTCTAGTTCGCAGAAAACATAAACTGGTGGCAATGTAAATTAGAGGTATATGGTTACTTCTCCGGGGCATATGCAAGAGCCGGGAGGCGAGAGCCTCTCACTGAGCCTATCAGGTCCTCACATAGAGGTCTGGTAGTACGCATTATTAAAGTTCCTAGAGAGGTTTTTCACGTGCAGACAGAGAGTAATGCTTGCATCACCTTGTGGTTTATGGTATCTGGATTTTTTGTTATAATAAGAGTTAAGAACGACTGGTCAGTTCGGTATTAATAGAATACGGAAGCGAATACGACTAATTTATTTTATCAAAAAATGACATCTATTAGGAAAATTTTCTTAATTCAACAATGGGTAATATTGTATTGCATATATTTTTGTAAATTAAAAAATAAGTCAAATGCACTGTGTCCCCAATGCCGATCGAACCTTAGAGTGAGATACCGGGCACATCTTTCTTGTGTCTGGCTCTTTTATTCCTCACCATATCTGTTTTTCACGAGAGACAGCTATCTGGGACGAGAACACTATACGAGCGTGAGGCTATCTAAGCAAACATGAACATAACCCCTCTTGATCCCACGAATTTTAAGTGTTTATTTCAGGCTTCCGGTCTGCGGTGGCCTCACCAAGCCAACTATGAGTGGCTACTGGCGGGACCTAAGGAGGTCCGAAGGCGCCGATTCCTCGAGTCGTACGGAGTTTGAACCAGCCTGAGCAAGAGCGACTGCGCATGGGTCAGGACCAGCGCCAGGAACTGACATGGCGAAATAGGGCGGCCGCCCAGAGGACCGAGGCCGTGTGAGAAATCGATTGCCAAAGAGGGCAGCGCGCAAGACGTTGATCTCGGCCGGAGTCCAGAAAGCTTCTGGGACTGAAAGGATAGGAACGATACCTTCACACTGCTCGGGATTCCCGGTGGGCGCTGCATACACTGTAAAGTGTCCAGTCTTTACTTCGACGCCCTGTCAGCAGACCCTGTGGTGGTTGTCTGAGGCGCCCAGGGATTGACGCACCGTGTGCCCCGCAGTGTCAGAGAGTTTGGACTCCACTGGATGCTAACTATTAGCGGCAGATTCCCGAGCCCAGCGACCCTCACTTAGCCGGGCCACAAGTGCTGGTATGGGACTGCTGGGGAACCTGTCTCAAAAAAAAAAAAAAGTCTTATTGAAACTTAGACGGTGCGCGGACCAAATGCATTGTAGCATCAAACAAGAGTGCAAGGCCAACACCCTTCCTTGCTATGGTATATCATGTTGCTATAGATCTACGAAGCCATTCAGCGCGAGGAAGGGGCAAGCAGAGAGATACAACTGAGCAAAGCAGATAGATTTAAAGGGGAGCGTTTCGAGAATAAATTAGGAGGGATTAATTTACAATGTGCAAACTTGGGTATACCTTGGCAGACAGTGGTTAAGGCCGTACTCGTAGAATCTCAGGTGAAACTTGTCAGGCAGAGGAGGCTGGGGCCGGGAGGAGCCAGCTCTCTGACTCCAATCCTATGACACAGCTCACATCATAGGAGGAGGGCATGCTTGGCAGGAGAGAGACAAACTAGTGCTGTTTTGTTATGTCTTGTGCATTTTGACAAGAAGACAGGTCTCCTCTGTGCACCCAGACTGGGACATGCAGTGGCATGATCTAGCTCACTGCAGCCTTTGAACTCCTTGGCTCAAGCATCCTCTTCTGCCTCTACCTTCCCAAGTACTGGGATACAGGATATACCACCATGCCTGGCTTAATTATTTTATTTAAAATTTTTTAGAGTGGTCTCCACTAATATTGCCCAGGCTGGTCTTGACGCTGGTGTCAAGCCCATCTTCCTGGCTCAAGCTCCCAAAGTGCTGGGATTGTAGGTGTGAGGCCACGCACCCTGCCTGCTAGTGATGGTTATTACACCAGGAGAGTGCTTGTTCAATTGACCTTCCCTTGTGATGTACCGTGGATAGCAAAAATGACAGTACTTAGAGGTGGAGAAAGGATGCTGCACTGACATCCAGTGTTGAGTCTGCCTGAGACAGTGAGGGGTATTCCCTTGTCACAGCAATGGCGAGCGTGTGGTGGTCTTCGCCCCAGTGTCATCTGACTAAAGCCTGTAGGAATTGTCACGGCATTTGAGGGAGGTAACGTCCTTTTTCAAGGGCAAATTGAATCCCATTGTTCTCCTCTTCCCACCACGCCACTTGTTGTAAGAAGTTTGTGTCCTTTGGGGCCGGCGCGTGCCACGCCTGTCATCCTAGCACTCTGGAGGCCGAGGCGGAAACGTTCAAAGCTCAGGAGTTCGAGAACAGCCTGAGCAAGAGCGAAGACCGGCCCGTCTTTCTGAAAAAGAGAGAAAATAATGGCAACTGAAAATATATAAAAAAATGAGCCGGGCATGGTGTGCATGCCGTAGTCTGGCTAACTCGGGAGGCTGAGGCAGAAGATCGCCTGAGGCCCAGGAGTTTGAGGTTGCTTGTGTGAGCTAGGCTGATGCCACGTAATCACTGCTACCGGGCAACAGAGTGAGACTGCTGTTCGTGGCCCGAGTAGGCTGGGACCTAGCAGGACAAATGTGCCCACCTATAGTGCGCCCGGCCCTATATTGTTTTTCCTATAATATTGATTAG